TATATAAAATTTTCTTTTTGAGACAGCATAATTTCATGGTGTAGCCCTGATTGCCCTGGAACTTGTATGTAGACCAGGCTGACCTCCAATTCCCAGAGACTTGCCTGCCTCTGTGGCCCCGGTGTCCCAGGTGCTGGGACTAAGGGCTGTGTACCACCATGCTTGACTTATGCCTGGCATTTTTTCTTCCAAAAATTGTATACTGTTGTTAATTACAGAACACTTTCATACCCATTGTGATAAGTGAATGTGCTTTACTTAGAGAATACATTCTTCTTCCCTCCTCCATCTCATCTCTCTGAGGTAATCATTACTGCTTCTCTTTTCTCAGGGCTCATGAAAATATACAGATTCATATGTAGAGATGCTGTACATTATCTTCATAAAAATGTGATCATATTGCACATATTATTCTGTAATGTGCTGGTTTTCACTAATGTATTCTGGAGAGTCCCACACATCAGCTTGTACTTAATTAGTTGCAGAATAGTAATGCTGGCAGGTGCCACCCAGCTTTTCCCTATGAACTGATACCTCATTTGCTGCCATGTTTGTTTAATGTGTTGTTGCTTTCAGTCTGTGTAGCATGGATTTCTAAAGTTAGAAATGCTGGTTCAGAGGGTATGTTTACTATAAAGTTTAAAAGCCATTACTAACAGGCAATCCCAAATGGTAGTTGAGATTTAAGTTTCCTGCAGGTAACACAGAAATGTGCTCAACTGTTTAGTTTGTTTCAGTATTTGTTTTGTCATTCTGATGTGTGAACAGCAGTATCTCTCGGAAGCTTTAGTTTGAACTTTGGAGACTCTTAGTGAGCTTGAATGCCTCATGATTCATTATCCATCAGTTTTCTCTTTAGCTAATTCCCCGTTTGTTTGTTTGTTTACTTATTTATTTGATCTTTTTTGAGACAGGGTCTCCATGTAGTCCCAGCTGGCCTAGAACTCACTATGTAGGCAAGGCTGGCCTGAACTCATAGAGATCCACCTGTCTCTGCTTCTCAAGTGCTGGAGTTAAAGGCATGTGCCACCACGCCCAATTATTTGCTTATTTTTTTTAATGAACTTGACCTTGCTTTTAGTAACGTATCTGGTGTTTGAATCATGAATATATTTTCCCCAAGTTATTGCTTATATTGAGCAGTATTTCTGACATTGGAGTTGGATAATTCTTTGTGGTCAGAAAGCTGGTCTTCCTGTGTATTCTAATATGTTTAGAAACATCGTTGGCCTCTACCCAGTTGTGACAACTAAACATGTCTCCAGATGTGACCTAATATTCTCTGAGAGGCTGGGGCAAATTTACCCCTGGCTGAGAACCAGGTTTAGACTTGTTAATTTTGTCTTTTTTGTCATTTGAATTTTTGTTCACTTTGAAGAAATCAATTTTATTTTCCCTGATATTGTCTAGATTTCCTGGCTGGCTTAGAAAAACTTCACTCAAAAATTGTACAAATATTATTCTAAATTTTCTAATATTTGGTAGGTTTCTTATGTTGTTTAATAAACGTTTTTAAAAAGTCTCCAGGCCATCTGGAATTGATCTTTTTATATGATGTGATGTGACAAGTCTAGCTTAATTCATCCCAGTTATTAAACAAAACACTTTTCCCTATGAATCAAAATGCCTATTTGCAAAGTGAACTCCTTACGGGCAGCTGTCTGCTGGGCCCACGTATCAGACTGTCAAAGATTTGGTTTCTGTTGTGGGTGCCTTGGCTCTTATAGGACATTAAGGTAGAAAGGCACACTTTTTTTGTTTTCTGTTCCACGCAGTTTCAATCTAGAGAGCTATGCGAGGTACTGGTGCCTCTTCCACCCCGATCCAGCTGCAGAACAGAGCAGGGAGGAAGAATCAGGGGTGCTGCTTAGCCATCTTCTCCCCAAATTATCTGCTGTTTGGTTACTTTTTATTATTATTATTTTTACTTTATGTGTACGAGTGTATTGTCTGCATGTGTATGAGTGCACCTGTGTCATGCAATGCTGTGCAGATCAGAAGAGGGCTTCAGATTCCCCTGGAACTAGACTTAAGGACAATTTGTAGACGCCATGTGGGTGCTGGGAATCAAACCCAGGTCCTCTGTAAGAGCAGTCAGTGCCCTTAACCGCTGAGCCATCTCTTCAGCCCCTGGTTATTTTTTTAATGGAGAGGGTGGTGCCATTAATCTTAGAATGTTTTATAAATTCCTTTTAAATATTTTATTTATTATTTTTATTTTATGTGTATGTGTGTATTGCCTGCATGGAGGTAAGTGCACCCATGTCGTGCAATGCCTGCAGAAGACAGAAGAGACTGCCAGATCCCCTGGAACTGGAGTTACGGACAGTTGTTAGGTGTCATGTGGGTGCTGGGATTTGAACCCGCTTCTTCTGCAAGAACAGTCAGTGTTCTTAACTGCTGAGCCTTCTCTCCAGCCCCATAAATTCCTGTTAAAGTCTCACGTGCCTCTACCTCAAAGGTACAGCTGAGACCTTCATAGATAAAGTTCAGCTATGCACGTACGAAGAATTTTCTGAACAGATGAAGCAAGACTAATGTTGCTTAATGTAGATTTAGTTACTGATTGGATTTAAAGCTTTGTGACACAAAGAGACTGCTTGCTAAAATGCAGGTGCTTTGGCAGATGGGAAGCTCATTCTGTCAGTAGACAAACGTTTCTATCAGCCAGCTGTCATCCTTAGGGGCTGCAAGTCCTGAGCAACCCAGGAAACCCCAGCATTTGTCACCACCTAGATTTGGGACTCAGCCGAGAGGACTTAACAGTCACGGCCCTCCCTGAAGTGGTTGGCCACATGCTCAGATTTGCTGCTCCTGACTGACCAGTAGTACCTCCACTGAACTGTTCCTCCTAGACTCTGAGAGACTATGACTCTTGGAGTGGGGGGATAGAGTAATCTTATTTTCACTAGAGGGAAACGGCCATGACCGTGTGGTCTCACCGGCAGAAGAAACAGTGATCTCTAGTGAGATAGCCATTGCCGTTCTCCTTTTCAGGAGGCAGCAGGCTCTGCTTCTAAAAGAAAGAAGACGGGAGCAGATTTGGGCATGGGTGAAGGCAGACTCATGTCTTTGGGGCACGTTGGTCTCTTGTATTCCACCAGGATGTTTTTGGGTTTGTTTTAGGCCTTACTGTTACACAATCGTGGGACAATAAAAGACTTCTTCCTGGCTGGCCAAAATCTAGCATGGTGGCTGGTGAGTAAGCTTGCATATGACTGTCTTCTTGGGGAGGGGGCGTGTATCTCTGTGTTAATTTGTTTATTATTTTAATTTAGATGTCTTAAATCCAAAATAATTTGAGGTTACTAAGTTAGCATTATTAAAAAGCTTATTTATTTTTATTTTATGTGTAAGAGTGTTTTGCCCACATGTAAGTGCACCACATATGTGCATACCCACAGAGGCCAGAAGAGGGCGTCAGATCTACTGGAACAGGACTTAGGGATGATTGTTAGTTGTCATGTGGGTGCAGGGAACCAAACCTGGGTCCTCTGGAAGAGTAGCCAGTGCTCTTAACTGCTGAGCCAGCTCTCTGGCCTCAGGATTATCATATAGCCCAGACTGGCCTTGAACTCATAATCTTCCTGCTTTAACCTCCTGAGTGCTGGGATTACAGGTATGTGCCACCACCACCAGTAGGAGTGTCATTTAATTGATGGTTTATTGAACTCCTAAGCATTTTCTTAACTAACCTCCATATGGAAGTGCAGACTGTAGAATGAAGTAGGATGCATTTTAAAAATTTTATTTTTTGTGTGTGTGAAGGTGTGCAGGTACCTGTGTGTGTGCTGGTGCACATGTGCCTGTGTGTGCATAGGTCAGAGGAGGGTGCTGAGTTTCCTGCCCTTTTTCTCTTTGCCTCATTCCTTTGACACAGGGTCTTTCCCCGAACCCAGTGCTAAGCTGGCAGCCAGTAAAACCCTAGCCATCCTCCCATCTCTGCCTCCAGTGCTGGGCCTGGCCGCCACACCTGGGTTTTTAATGCAGGTGCTGGGATTTGAACTCAGCATTTCGAATTTCATGCATGTGCAGTAAGCAGTCTTAATCACTGAGCTCTCTCCCCAGTCCGGGAATTATATTTGAACTAGCTACAGTACATTATAGTATAGGACTAGAAATCTGTTGGAAAGAGCCCAGGCTGAATATGGATGAAAGGTGAACTTGGGCTTGTTGGGTATCGCAACACAGAAAAGGATTTCCAGAGGAGGAGTGTGTAAGGATTGGAAGGGGAACAATGCCTTTTCCAGACAGACGGAGTGTGAGGTGTTCTGGGCAGAGGGAGCAGCATATGCCAAAACACAGTGATGCAGAGCAGCTTGATACTGGATGGAGGGAGGTGGGGTGGAAAGTAAAGTCATTAGAATCATTGTATGTTAAATAATTTATTGATTATTGTATTAGGGTTCTCTAAAGAAACAGAACTGATAGAATGAATGAATGTGCGTGTGTGTGTGTGTGTGTGTGTGTGTGTGTGTGTGTGTGTGTTACAAAGGACTTGATTCTACTGGCTTACACAGCATGGTCTGGGTAATCCAACAATAACTGTCTCACACTGGAGAGGCTGAGGGCCTGGTAGTTGCTCAGTCCCAGAGGCTGGATGTCTCAGTCATCTGGCACTGAAGGCCTAGAGGATTTTGGAGAGCTGCTGGTCTTCAGTCTGTGTTGGAAGCCCAAAGAAGCTGGTTCTAACGTCAGAGAAAGAATGCAACAGCAACAGGAGAATGAACTTGCCAATGAGGGTGAAGGCAAGCAGGCAGAAAGCAAAACTTTCCTTCTTCCATGGCTTTTTATCTTGGCTGCCACCAGAAGGTGCTGCCCACATTTAGGTGGGTCTTCCTCCTCCAAATAATCTGATCAAGAAAACATTTCATAGGAGTGCCTAGAGGCTTGTGTTTTAGTTGATCCCAGATCCAGACAACCAAGACTAGCCATCCCTGTTCTAGAAAGTGATTCTATTTAGGAGGATCAAATCAAACTCTCACAACAGCAGAGGCAGCTGCTTATCCACAGCCCTGTGTCTGTGCTGGAAGCAGCTGGGGGTGGGGGGGCAGATGAAGAAGATGTGGAGACTCACACTAAGCCTGGGCCAGGGCCACTTTATAGCATAATATATGTGTATATATGTATATTTCCCACATGGGAATTTAAGGTACATTTAGAGAACTTGGTAAGATCTAGGCCATTGTTTAGTCATTTATACCTTGCCCTCAAATGCTAACCAGTCTCATGGCGAAGGTTCAATTTTTGACATCAGGGTTTAAGTTCATTGAGAGAAGTCTTGTCTCAGGAGGGGAAAGTGCCATCACTTAAGCAGGAAGTGTTGCCATCATGTGCTGGTTGACACAACCGAAAGAAACAGCCTTGTTTCATTATCTGGGAGCTTTGGGGAAACCTCGAACCCTCTAGGGGCTCTCATTTAACCCCGAATACAAGGCCAGCTGTTATAATGGCCTGCATCACTGCGTAGATGATCTTCACCTCTTCCTTTCAGACGTGGCCCTTAGGATGTCCATCCCCACTCCAGCCATTGTCCTTGAATGTTCTGTCTTTGCTTCTGCCACTGGGCCTTTGCACCTGCTCCTGCCTCTGTGTGGATGCTCTCCTCTATTATCCCTGCAGCTTATTCCCTTGGCTCTTCTGGTGAATCTTGGGTCTTTTCTCACGACAGTCTACTCTGCCAGCCCGGTTTCTCAGTGCTCCTACTCACTTCTCCACCTTCCTTTTTCCCTATGGTTCTTATCACCCTTTGTTATGTTATAAAATAATCCCACAACTTACTGTATTTATTGTTTCTCTTCTAGTTTTGTGAAAGCAGGGATGGGAATTTTTTTCTAGTTTTTCTCACTAATGTATATCTAGAGCCCAGAGTAGTACTTGATCCATTAGTGGACATTATCTATTAATGTCTCTAATCCACTAAAGGACATTAATTTAAAATTATTGACTAATGACTGAAGATTTTATACTGTACTTTATCAATATACTAAGCATGTCTTTCAAGGTCTATAGATACACATATGTAGTCCATGTTTATATACAGGTGCCTTGTATTATAACATGAACATTCTACTTCTTTGGCACAATATTTTTGGGGAACTTAGACTGTAGTTTCCCACTGTTGTAATAATGCAGTGAATGTTCTTAATAGTAAAAGTAGCTCTCATGACTCAAGTATTCATCTTATGCTCTTTGCTTGTGTTTTTGGCTGTTCTAGTGTTTGGCGTGCACTTTGTGCACTTTTATCTTTTACAGCTATTTTTAAGCTCTCTGTTTTTCTCATTGTTTCATTCTTGAATGCCACTTCAGCTTGTGCTAATATTGTCGACGTTGTTTTCTTCTTATTTACCTACAAGGTTTTGTTATTTTTGGCCTCTATTTATTTGGTTTGAAGTGCCCTTCCCATCAACAATATATTAGTTGAATTATGGTTTTAAGTGGATTAGGGGACCTCCACTCCATTCAAAAGTTGCTGTTGGTTTAGGAGGTATTTTGTTCTTTTTATACGTGTGTAGAATTTTAAAATTTTGTTTAAAATTTTATTTTATTTTTATATGTATGAGTGTTTTGCCTGCATGTATGTAAGTGCGCTATGTGTATGCAATGCCTACAGAGGCCAGAAGAGGACTTCTGATCCCCTGGAACTGGAGTTAGGGATGGTTGTTAGGAATGGATGTGGGTGCTGGGAACAGAATCTGGGTTCTCTGGAAGAGCAGCCAGTGTTCCTAAATGCTGAGCCATCTGTCTAGCCCCAGATTTTTTTTGTTTTGTTTTGAAAGTAACAGAAGGTGATTGTGAAATAAAAACCAACTAAAAAGTTACAGTCTGAGTACAAAACTTGAAAAATGTCCCCATTTTGTTATTATAATTATAGTTGAAGCTTCTAAAGTATTTTATTATGTATATCTCCCATGCATATACAAACATATATGTATACCAGTATAAAACATACATAAAACTACCTCGTTCCTACTGCTCTCTGTGTGAATGCTCTCCCTAGGTTTTGCTGGTAGTTCTGTCAGTCTTGGAGGTCACTGGTCATATTGTTAACAGTTTTAAATTTTCAAACATAACACACTCCCCAGTTCTTCATTGGGGAACACATAAATCAGCAGGGCAGTGGAGAGTCTGTTTACATCATCTTCCTCTTAACTTGGCTTCTTCTCGCAGTTGGGGGCTGTATAAAAATGGTCCCCCTGAAAAAATGTGAAAGTCAGTGGGCGGTTTATATTTCTTAAAATCAAAGTTAAAGCGTTAATTTTTTTTTTTGAGACAAGGTCTCATGTAGCCTGGCTAGTTTCAAACTCACTATGTAGTCAAGAATGACCTTGAGTGTTGGGATAACTTCCCAAGTGTTGGGATAACGGGCAAGTGGCTATCACACTTGATTTAGGTGACGCTGCATATAGAACTCAGGGATCTGCACATGCTAGGTAAGCATTCTATGACTGGGCTGTGTCCCCAGCATGTCAGCATTAACTCTTGGAAAAAGACTGAGAGTTCTGATATGTAACAATCTTCTGATTTGCAGGTGGGTAGTTCCCTTTTTTCTGCAAATATTGGCAGTGGCCACTTTATGGGCCTGGCTGGGGTAGGAGCATTTTCAGGAATTGCTGTTGGGGCCTTTGAATGGAATGTAAGTCATACCTTCTGCAGCAAATAAACTCTACTTAACCATTGTCCAAATAAGACTCATAAACACAAAAACGTGCTTTTAACCTTGAGTAACTGTTAAAGGCTTCCTGAAAACTATAGATGAAAAAGTCAAGTCTTTCTTTGGTTTTTCAGAAGGATTATGCTGGTTTTCATTTTTCTTAGTAAGAGACAGAATGTTTATATACCATGAGACCTTGAAATACTGCAAAGGAAGAACTGTTGGGGGGAAGATCACATTAGCATCTAAATGTATGCATCTCTATTGATACACATGTACAGATATATGCATATATATGAAGAGAAAGAGAGATGTACTCTGTCTTTTGTAGTACGTATTGAGAATGGGTTCAATTGAGCTCTTTGAGATATTCAACTAATTATTATAAAGTTCCTAATTTATAATTCCAGGTTAAATTGTAAACCATATAACATATTGGATTATTTATTCAGTTCATTGGATATATTTGTTCTAGAAAATAGGATCTAGTCACCAAAACTATAAATTTCTTAATCTTGTATTATCTATTTATATAAGTCATTTGCCTGTTTTGATCAATCAGAAAGCACCACACTTTCTGTTCATCTTTCTTCTTATAGATTATAAAAAATAAAGAATACTTCTACAGAGTCCAAACTTTACAAAAAGCCTTTTTCTTCATCACAAATTATCCCTCCCCTTCCCTTCCCTCTCCTCCCTCCCTTCCGTCTTCCCTTTCCCTTCCCTTCCCTTCCCTCCCCTCCTCTCCCGTTCCCTCCCCTCCCCTTCCCTCCCCTCCCTTCCGTCTTCCCTTTCCCTTCCCTTCCCTCCCCTCCCCTCCTCTCCCCTCCTCTCCCCTCCTCTCCCCTCTGCTTCCTTTCCCTTCTTTTCTTTGAGACAGGGCCTCACTATGTAGCTCTGGCTGGCCTTAAACTCTCTATAGAGCCTGAGACCAGGCTGGCCTCAAACTCAGAGATCCATCTGCCTCTGCCTTCAAAGTGCTGGGATTAGAGTCAAATGCCGC